CAGCATAGTCCTATTAGCAGAGTGGTTCTGTTAGCAGCATAGTCCTACTAGCAGAGTGGTTCTGTTGGCAGTGAGTTTCTCTTAGCAACATGGTCCCGTTAGCAGTGTGGTTCTGTTATGCCCCTTTTCCACTGTCACAGAGCGGATCAGATCAGTTCGGGTTGGTTCAGATCGGTTCGGGTCTGTTGTGTTTCCATGTACATTTCTGGACCAGCTCTGTAGGCGGGGACTAGAATCCAACTCGTCTTACCACCTGGTGGCGGTAGTGCTCCCTTAAGCTACTTACTAGCCACCACTAAACGTATTAGAAGAAGAACACCCTGAAGGTTTTGTCACACGATGTTGTGGAAAAGATGTCTTGCTCTAATGGAGTACCTCATGAGCTGTAACTTATAAACCTGATTCATAATCCTACCTTACTGCCTTCCCTGCTGCTTTAAACCCATGTGTTTTTCATTTTAGTATAGATTTTTACAATAAAGATGTATTAAAAATATCTTCACTTTTATTATTTGCAGATATGCACAAGGTTCATGTTAAAATTGCAAAACATCACACTGTGCTGTAATCTTTGAAACTGCTTTTACAATAAGATACAGACTTGAAAACAATTAGATTAAATTTTGTCCTTGAATTTTAAAGATTTGTCTTTCATTAAATTAAAACATACATTTATTACTTATTAATCTAAAAAAGTTAAGTCTGGTCCTCTGGACATTCAAAAACAAAACTAACAAAAAACATTTAGTTTATTTATTATGAACTGTATTGTTTGTTTTGTGAATGTCCAGAGGACCAGACTTAACTTTTTAGATTTTTCTACCTGGATTATTGAGCAGCATCAGGATATTAATTAATAAATAGTCAGTTGGTCTGTGAACACCATGGGGTCCTAGAAGAGTTGAAGAGGAGGCTGTTGATGTCTGTGCCTCCCTGGTGAAGATGCTGCTCCCACAACCCTGAAGCAGAAGAGGATGGATGGATGGATGGATGGACGGGTGGCGAAGGAGGAGACCATCAAACACAGCAGGAGTGGTCAGTTCAGGTGAACTCCTGCCTGTTGGCTTCAGATCAGCTGTTCAAATCTCTGCAGGTTCAAATAAAAGGTGCACCAGGACTTTCAGCTGAATCTCTCAGGCCACAGTTGTACGGACGATAAACGATAACTGCTAAAAGATAACTGATGACTGATAATTGATAACTGTCCTTTCTGAATTTTTGACTGTTTTTGTGTCACTTCATCCTAGAACCAAAAAATTATAACATAATAACAGTTGAGCAGATACTAGTAATCTTTTCTTAGGATCCATTAAAGATCAAATGCAATTGGAAATTCTTCTCAATTCCAGTATGAATTTAAACAAACACTATATGAACTTAACATTGTAAAATTTGTTTAGGAAATTTAATGTTCAAGGACACCACTTAAGAAAAAAATTTTTTAATAGGAAAAGTAAGAAGTGAAAAATGTACAAAAATAAAAACTACTGCGTCCAACTAATGATTGTGTCTGTCCCTCGTCTCACGGGCTTCATCCAGAAGAAGACACAAGTGTTGTTCCTGCTGTGTCCGGTTCAGTTCTTCATGTTCATTCAGTGATGGAATAAGACTTTTCTTTACTGGACTCTTTTCTCTTTCTCTTCACTAGAAAGAAGAAACAGGTGGTTAATTCAAGCTACATACTGTTTTTGAATAAATGCATGAAACAAAGAAAGGTGCTGCTAACAGCTATAATAGATATATTAATAATTATAAACTGATCAAATAAGAAAATGAAAAATAAATTGATTTAAAAATAATGAAAATGATAATAATGGATATATGAATCAGAAAGTATTATACAGATGCAGATATTCTTTGTCATTCGCACCACATGTGGTCCATGTGGCGGATCAAAATTATGTTCACAGGGTCCCAGTTACATCCAACAATAAAATATAAAAGAAAAACAGTAATAAGATCTAAAGATATGAACTAATAAAAACATCAACTAAAAATATAAGCTCTAATAGCATAAAAACATTAAACACAATACGCAGAACAGCAGCACGGACATGAGTCTGTGTGAACAGACGAGCACGAATGCACACAGCAACATGAAACAGATCAGCAGCAACATGAAACTGATCAGCAGCAACATGATGTGATTCTTCACAGTGTTATATATTCATGAGGCTGCACAAACTCAAGTTCATGTTGCTGTTTGACGTATTGTTTTGATTGTTTACTGCTATTAGTGCTTAGTGTTTTATTAGTAGATGTTTTTTAGTTGATATTTTTCTTAGTTCATATCTTAGATCTTATTACTGTTTTTATTTTACGTTTTGTTGTCTGTAACTGGGACCCTGTGTACATAATTTCATCCCAATTCAGTATTTATTCAACATTTTAGTTTTTTACTTTAAAAATAAAATAAATCAAGTCCTTATCGGCACAAATAAAGTGATGTGGAACATGTTGCATCTTACCGAGCACAGAAGCTGCAGCGTTGTGCTGCTCTGTGAGGTGCAGCTGGGCTGTGATGGAGACCTGTCAGGTGCAGACTCCTCTGATGGAGCAGGAGCAGGAGCCGGGAGGCTTGGAGGGTTTAATGTGGAGTTTAGAGATGAACCATCACGCGCTGAAAGACGTTCTGGATAAAATACAGTGAGAAACGGGACCGGAGGACAGTTAGCATTTATGCAAATTAGCTTAGCATCGTAGCACCGACGTTGTACTATTATGGCGTCAGCCTCTTTTGTTAATTAAAAATATGTTCAGAACCGATGGGATGAGTAATTTAAAATATGTTTAAAGTTAGAAAACACTCACCATCTTCTATAAATGGTTCAAGTAGAGCAGTAGTCGTGTCCAAACCACCCTCCAATCCTCCATCTAGCTCGCTTTGACTTTTTTCGTCGGCCACCAAGCACAACAACACCTGCACTTCTGCATTTGACCACGGCTTTGATATTATTGTTGTTGTATAGCTTCAAAATACTAAAAGATACGCTCCTCATGTTATCGCTAATGGCAAGCGGTAGAGAAAAAAAATGGTGGATCGGGTTGTTTGGAAAGACTCCACAGACTCCTCCCCCCGACCAATCAGTGACCGACAGTGTTTCTGACGTCACGGCGCGGCTCGCTCGGAACCCTTGAGAAGCCGGGCCAGAATTTAGCGAGACGAGCCGGTTTCTGGAACAGTGGAAATACCTCCAACGCGCTTCAACCCGGAAATATCCGACCCGCGCCGTGACAGTGGAAAAGGGGCATAAGTGGTATAACAAGTGTATAGAAATACACAGCAAACTCCATTGTGTTATTATTTATGTAACAAAAATGACATTGAAATGGAAACTTTCTGTGTGAAAAACTAAACCAAATCCTTTCTGCCTCAAGGTTATTTAAGAAGGAAAGTAGCAGCCAGATGCTGCTGATCAAACCTATTGATCATCTTCTTTGTGAGCACTCTTAGAAAAGCAGGAGCTATTTCATTTTGCTGCACTGAAGCATAGAAATGTGTGTTCAAACTATGCCAAGATGGAAAGACATCAGCAATGATCTTAAGTGTTTCCCCTACTGTTATCCAAGGAGGGCGCCCCGACCTGTAAACAGAACCAAGCGCAAATAAATCTTTGCAAACCTCAATGAGTACAAGCAAAATGGGAGAGAAGAGTGGACCAAACTTCATCCACAACAATACAAGTAACTGATAAGTCACAGAGTACAACTACTTTAGGTTCATGGAGCTAAAGTTGGTTCTACAAGACGTAAAATCAAGTGGTGGACTTAGATTTTCCACAAAGATTTTCCATTTTTTTCTTTCTTTTTCATGTTGAATCATTAATGACCTGGTGGAATGTGTTGAGTATTTTCATTCACTTGAGGTTAGATTAGAATAATCTTAGTAAAAGATCAGATCGTTTTTATTATGCCCTAATATGAAAAACTCTAAAACTGACAGAGGGTGGACTTTCTTTTTCCCATGACTGTATCTGTTACATGAATGTGCTCGTGATTTTCGGCTCTAACGCATCAAGCTGCATCTGAGAGCTGAAACCAATTTGCCCAATTATGTCACTAGCTCAAGTGTAGCACAATACACCCCTCTCCAGTGGGAATAGACTGCAACTGGACGTCCAGACAATACAGTACACACAGTCACGCTCAGTTACACAATCTCTCACCAGTTACAGACACACACACATAAAAAGTGTTTTTTGTAAGAGTAGCAAAAGAGGAAAAAATATCAAAGTTCATGCTCAATAATCCAGGTAGAAAACCCAACAGAGTTCAGTGAGGTCATCTTGACGGTTTCTCTTTTAGTTGAGACGTTTCATCCTTTGTCCAAAGGACTTCATTAATCCGAGGAGCCATACACAAACAAACTCAGCCCCATAAGCAGCACACTCACATAGTGGACCAACCAGTTTGCTGGTGAGAAGATGATTTCTGTTTTTTTGTTGAGACGTTTCATCCTTCATCCAAAGGACTTCATCAGTCCGAGGAGCCACAACCAACAGTCTGACAAGCATCACACTCACATAGTGGACCACCCAGTTTGATGGGATAAGATGATTTCTGTTTTTTGATGGGACGTTTTGTTCTTCATCCAAGGAACTTCATCAATCCGAGGAGCCACAACCATCTGAAGCTCACAAGAAGCACACTCACATAATGGACCAACCAGTTTGCTGGTGATAAGATGATTTCTGTTTTTTGTTGAGACATTTCGTCCTTCTTCCAAAGGCCTTCATCAGTCCAAGGAGCCACAACAAACTGAGTCTCACAAGCAGCACACTCACATTGTGGACCAACCAGTTTGCTAGTGATAAGATGGTTTCTGTTTTTTGTTGAGACGTTTCGCCCTTCAAATTCAATTCAATAATACTTTATTAATTCCAAAGGGAAATTATTTGTTGTTGCAACTCGTTATCCTCATTTCATTAAGTTATTTTCTTTTTTTTTTCTGGAGACGTTTTGTCCCTCATCCAAAGGACTTCATCAATCCGAGGATCCACAACAAACTGTCTCCAAGCAGCACATTCACATAGTGGACCAACCAGATTGCTGGTGATAAGATGGTTTCAGCGGCACGCCCTCTCCCCCGTCGACTCCTCTGAGGCAGCCATAGCCAAAGTGGTTCAAAACATCAAAGTTCATGCTCAATAATTCCAGGTAGAAAATCCAGCAAAGTTCAGTCAGGTCATCTGGATGTTTTTTTCTTTTCTTTTTTTTTTTCTGGAGACGTTTTGTCCTTCATCTAAAGGACTTCAGTTTGTTGTGGCTCTTCGGACTGCTGAATTCTTTTGGATGAAGGATGAAACACCTCAACAAAAAAAAAAGAACCCATCCAGATGACCTGACTGAACTTTGTTGGAAAAAAAAAAGTTTTCTAACACATAACTAACCTTTATTTTCCTCGCTGTCAGCTGATGGAACTGTCTCCGCCCAGGATGGATCGCACAGTCGTCATGGTTACGTTCATCAACCACACTTCGTGCGAATGCCTCTCCAAGCGGCCGCTTCACTCCATCATAAGGCGAGCCGCGGCAGATCACCTGTGAGTAAAAGCGAGGGAAGGTGTGACTGTTTCCAGCATACCAGAACACCCCCGTCTCTGTTCGTGACGAGAACGTCTGTGTATGTGTGTGCAGGTGTTCCCCCCCTGAACTCCCCTGTGCCTCGGGGTCTTTATGGGATCCAGTGAACTGCGTGTGCGTCTCTGCAGACACCATCAACTACTCTCAGAGAGAAACAGGTGAGCGTGGAGAAGTTCTGCTGATCAGATCAGTCAGGATCTACGCTGATATGGTAGCTGTTTTCTGTCTTGGCTGTGGTTCGGTCCATCTAATCATTTCAAAAGCAGAATGGCTCAAGCAAAAACCTTTCAACATTGTACGAGTTACAGAGTTTAGTAGCCTGAGGGGGAAAGTTCTCCAAAGTTTAGTTGCTTGCGCAGTCCGTTTCAACATGCGGTCTTACAGCAGACTTGTTTTGTAATAAAAACAGGGAAAAGTATTGGAGCTGAAGAGGTTAGAGTCTCTACAACCAGAACATTTCTGATCTTACAGACATTTTAGGCATTTTAATTTATGTTAAAGGCTAATGAGAAACTAGCAGGGGAACTGGTATGTAGAAAAAGAAATGGGGAAAAAAATCCCAAGGGAGTCCAGTGGTCAAAATAAGAAAAGTCCACGTTTAATAATAATAGTGTGAATGTTCATGAAGCATTCACACTATTGTGATCCATTTTTCTTCCGTATGCTTTTCAGCGCGATTCTCGTCCCACAGTTTTCAAGCTACTTCAACAGATCATGTATCAAAACGTTCAGCTCTTTCAGGACAATCCTGCTATGACTTTTGGTGGAGCAACTTTAGCCTTTTGAAATCTTTAGCCTTTTCTGTCAGTTTTTTTTTCTCATAGAAAATTAATTGAGCTCATTTTACATCCTTCAAATCTTTAGATCTGTTTACAAACTTTTACTGCTCCTTTCACATTTTGTTCTGGTTCAGCTTCTTTCTGCAAATTTAAACTTTTTTTCAGCTACTTTCAGCTGTTTTTGTGCTCCTTTCAGGTTCTTTCTGCTAACTACATTTTTGTGCGTCTTCTAGCTTCTTGATGCTAATTTCAGTTTGTTATGCTCTTTTCAGCTAATTACTGCAAGTTTCAGCTTTTTATACTATGCTACTATTTAGCTGTTTTTATGCTAATTTAAGCTTTTTCAGTTATTTCCACATTTTTTGCACTCGTTTAATCTTTTTTCAGCCTAAATTAGCAAAAATTTGAGCTTTTCACTTCCTTCTGGTGATTTCAGCATCTTTCTGCTTTTTAGCTACTTTAAAGCTGTTTTTGTTGTTTCTAATTTCAAAATTTTTCAGATATTTTCTCCTTTTTTTGTGCTAATTTCTGCTTCTTTCAGCAAACATGTTCTTTCTGCTTACTTAAGATAAGATAGAACTTATGCTTGTTCTACATTTTCAGCTACCTTTTTAGAAAATTTTTTGCTAATTTCAGATTAATTTAAATTCAAGTTTTTGTGCTATTTTCTGCTACTTTCAGCTTAATTAAATCATTTCTGCTAATTTCAGCTTGTTATGCTCCTTTCAGCCTTTTTCAGCTAGTTTCAGCTTCGTCTGCTATTTCAGCTACTGTTTTTATGCAAATTTTAGCTTTTTCAGCCAATTCCAGACTTGATTAGCTCATTTTAGCTCTTTCCACTTCCTTCTCGTATGTTAAGCTTCTTTCTGCCTATTCAGCTACTTTTTTAGATGTTTTATTTTTTGTTGTTGTTGCCAATTTTAGCTTTTTTAGCAGATTTCCTCATTTTTGTGCTAATTTCTGCTTATTTAAACATAATTCATCAAATATGCGTTCTTTCTGGTTTCTTCTGCTAATTTAGGCTTGTTCTTTCATTTCAGCTACATTTCAGCATGTTTTTTTTTTTAGCTAATTTCAGCTGTTTTCAGCAATAGGCATTCACATTGCATTTTCATGGGAAATGCATTTTCTCTAGTTTATTTGTATAATTTATTTTCCAAATTAAAGAAACTTATTGTTTGAGTTTTAGGATTCTTGTTACATTTTTTTTTTCCTAAACTTTTGTTTTTCTTTTTCATGTTCCCTCACATATTCACATACATACAACATACATTTTTAGGGTTTTTTTAGAGCTCTGCTTAAAACTAAAAATTTAACAAGTAAACTTGGTTAAATAAATATAAACAGTGTAGCGTTATATTCTTTGGATTCACCACAGATTTGTGACAAGCTCAGCAGACGATTAAGAAAATACCAGCTTTTACAACTTTAAGCACAGTAGATTTAGCCGTTTGCTTTACTGGCATCTATAAACAATAGTTAGCTCTGAGGATTTCAGTCAAATGAAGACTAGCAAGTAGAAGTTTCATGAAGTTCATCACCATGCTAACACCACTGGTTAGCAGCAACCCCATGTTCATAAGTAGTTTTTGGAAAGGAAATCTGAGAAGTCTATCATTTAACATTAAACATTATGGTCTTTAGAAGTGATCGTTTGTGAACTGTGAAAATCTTACAGCTAAAGAAAAATAAACAGCTAAATGCGGTTTTGCTTTACCTGTTATCTGTCTTCCAGAGGCTCTGGATTCAGGTCTGCTTGCTCTGTGTGGGCCCAACAGGGTTCTGGAGGAATCCACCTGTGAGTGTGTCTGCCAAAACGGTCTCACAGAAGCCAGCTGTGATCCAGGCTGGAAACTGGACCAAAAGAGCTGTAAGGACAGTTTCAGTTACGGTACAAACTATCAAACATATTGTTTTACTAAACGCAAGCAAACCAATTCAAAAAAGTAAAAGTGGTGCGGGTAAAATCATTTTCAGTCAACACGAGCATGTGAGCCCAACGTGTGTAATAAATGGGCTGATAGACATCATGCAGTTCCATTTAGGATATTTATTTTCAGTGAGGGTTTATTGCTATAAGTCAGACATGGGCAACTTAAGGCCCGAGGGCCAAAAGTGGCCCTTGGACAATCTCCATCAGGCCCCCAATATCCTTAGTTTAAAAACAAAACAAAGCAAATTTTAGTTAAAAAATTTTTTTAAAGATTGATAAAAAATAAAAAAAAACAGCAATTTATCAATGAGATTTAAGGAAATTTAAATTGAACATCTTACACAAAACTTTTTTTTAAAACGTTTTTAAGTCATTGGGATTACATAACTAGACTGAATCTTAAAGACTTAGGAACGCAAACATATAAGTTTGTTTTGCATTTTTCCACTAACATATATAACATGTTAAGCTAACGTGTATAACATGTCGAGCTAACGTGTATAACACGTTAAGCTAATGTGTACAACACGTTAAGCTAATGTGTATAACATGTTAAGGTAATGTGTACAACACGTTAAGCTAATGTGTATAACATGTTAAGCTAATGTGTATAACATGTTAAGCTAATGTGTACAACATGTTAAGCTAATGTGTACAACACGTTAAGCTAATGTGTACAACATGTTAAGCTAATGTGTATAACATGTTAAGCTAATGTGTACAACATGTTAAGCTAATGTGTACAACACGTTAAGCTAATGTGTACAACACGTTAAGCTAATGTGTACAACATGTTAAGCTAATGTGTACAACATGTTAAGCTAATGTGTACAACATGTTAAGCTAATGAGTATAACATGTTAAGCTAATGTGTATAACATTTTAAGCTAATGTGTACAACATGTTAAGCTAATGTGTATAACATGTGCGCGGCCGTGTCTCTTCCCCCCCCACCCTCTAAAACTGTTGGTATAAACAGCGCGCTGTGCAGCTCAGGACATGTTTCTGTCACCAAAATGACGGATGAGATGAGTGTCCCGCCATGGCAAGTTATCTAGGGGAAACACTGCAACATGTATAACATGTTAAGCTAATATCCTGATGCATGCTCAATAATCCAGGTAGAAAAATCCAAAAAAGTTCAATCTGGTCCTCTGGATATGTCCAGAGGACCAGATTGAACTTTTTTGGATGTTAAGCTAATGTGCATAACATATTGTCACAAGACCCAGTTTACAGAATATGCCTTATATTCCTAAAAGATAGGGAAAATACATGTTTTGTAAATCATGCTAACTATGCTACAATAAGAAAAAACCTAAAAAAAAAAGAGTCTTCTAGATTATCTGTCAAAAAGAACATTTGTTTTCCAATTCTTTATGTGGCCCTTTGATTGCTTTAAACACCTTGATGTGGCCCTTTGGGAAAAAAAACATGTTGCCCACCTCTGCTATAGGTGCTACATAGCCCTACAGATGTTCCTCTGCCCCTTTTTTAATTATTCTTATTTTAATCAGTTTACATTTCTTTATTTCTTTACTTTTACTGAAGAAGGTAGGAACCATATGAATTTACCACTGAATTCTAGAAAAAAAAGCCAATTTTTTTACCATTGAATCAGCATGCGAGTAGTAAAAATTGGGTCTGTGTGGAAATGTGGTCCCTAATCATCAGCCTTTTTATTGTCTTCATTAATTTTACAAGTTGTAAACATGGCTTTCAGGCTTTGGTTTAATTGAGTCTTGCTTACTACTCCAAGGGGGTGTCAATCTAAAGCCTGATCAAGAGAAAAATGAAAACAGACAACAGGAACTTTGGAAAGTTAGAGTTGTACATACAAGTAGAAACATGACTATGAGCACGAACCATTAGGCACTGCACAGACAAATGGATCATCTAATTAAATCTGATTTTAATTTCCACAGATCTCCACAGAACCCCACAAGGGATGTGTGGTTACAAACAATCTCTTACATGTTGTAGTCAGCTCTTGGAATGGCTTAGTTTGGAGTTAATGTCTGATCAGACAGAAGAGCTAAAGGCTAGTTTAGATGTACCAAAGCGGATCGCTGCAGTCTTAAACAAGTCCACTTACAAAAAGGTCATAGCAGTTGATGTGAAAATGATTTTCAAAACCTTTTATTGCTGTCAGTTCTGCATTACACATTATAAGTGCTACCACTAGCTGCTGCTGTGATGTTATAAAACAGTGTTTGAATAAAAGGCTTTTTTTTTTTTTTTTTAGATCAGAGCTATTTTTTTAAGTTGTAAGCAATCCACTCTGATCTTGGCTATTAGACTAGCTGTGAGACTGTCAATCTCCAAACTGAGGCTGTTCAAAGAGCTTAACAACAGGTAAGATCTTTGATGATAACATTCACACATAACTGGACTTCAAAAGATCGATTCAATTCAGTTTATTTATATGGCGCCAAACAGACAAATATAACTGTGTATCATCAGCATAACAATGAAAATTTATCCCATCCCAATAACTTTACATAATGGAAGCATATATCATGTAAAGAGTATAGGTCCAAGCAATGAACCCTGCGGAACTCCATTACTAACTTTGGTGTATGAAGATTCATTATTTACATTTACAAATTGGAATCTATCCAATAAATATGATTTAAACCAATTTAGATCTGATCTCTTCTTCTTTCCTACCTCTGATGATGACCCTTTTCTCAGGCGAGTGCCAGTGTGAAGGTCAAGGCGAGGGGAAGTCGTGTCCCACTGGCCAGCGGTGGGACGATGAGCTGTGCGGTTGTGTGTGCGCAGTCGAATGTCCAAGAAGTCAGCCCCTGAACCCTGACACATGCCTGTGTCAGTGCAGGGAGAGTCCACAGACCTGTCTGCGGCAGGGCAAAAGGTTCAACACAAACACCTGCAGGTGAGGAAATGAGTTGGTTCCAGTCGATGCTTAGCGCTTTTACCGTCATCAAAAACAGGGCCTCACAATTAAAAGTGTAATAAATAACTTCTGTCATGTAAATTCTCAGTATGAATACTGACTGCCACATGTGGTTAAAACACCTTACGAAAACTAACAGAGCATAAAATATTATTAGGGATGCACGGTATTGGATTTTTGGCCGATATCCGAAATGCCAATATTAAAATTTATTTGGCTGACAACCAATAGGGCAGCACGGTGGCGCAACTGGTAGAGCTGCTGCCTCTCAGCGAACAGGTTCCTGGTTCAAACCCCAGTCCAGGGGCCTTCTGGGTGGAGTTTGCATGTTCTCTCCGTGCATGCGTGGGTTTTCTCCGGGTACTCCGGTTTCCTCCCACAGACCAAAAACATGCATGTTAGGCTGATTGGTAACTCTAAATTGTCCCTAGGTGTGAGTGAGAGAGTGAATGGTTGTTTGTCTCGTTTGTCTCTATGTGTCCCTGTGATGGACTTGCGACCCATCCAGGGTGTACCCCGCCCCTCGCACAGTGATTGCTGGACATGGGCACCAGCGACCCCCGTGACCCAAAATGGAATAAACGGGTAAAGATAATGGATGGATGGATGGATGACAACCGATACCAATATCAATATTTTTTTCCCTTAGACCTACTTACAGAGACTACATAGCTTTCGCTGCTGTGGAATTAAAATACTACATTATTCTGCGTGGTCTTTGTCAATTTGGCCTTCAAAACAAATGCATATAAAAAGGGGACTGAAAATGATGTAACACTTCAACTTGGATTATGTTTAATGCCAAATTTATTCTCTCTAACACAATGACAACACTCGAACAGTGCAAATTCGTTAATTTTCACAAGCGACAAGTGAAACGTGCATACGTAGTAGTGCATTAATAGAGACTTGACAGTTTCTTTAATTAAAAATTTACTTAAAAGCCTTTTATATATGCAAGTTATTTTGACGGAATGGCCAATATTTAACTTTATCGCTAATATTGGCTGATACAGATACCATGGCGATAATATTGTGCATCCCTAAACATTATGGTTGCAAAGGAGGTGATGTTTGGAGTTAAGCCCCCAGTATACTTCCGCGTACGTCCATATGCAGAGGTACGCACGTACGTACGCGGAGGTACGAGCGTATCCCCCAGGGCATGTCCGTGAAAAGCTCAATTTTTACGACCGCATACGCGTACGCGGTGTCGCACAATAAACTGCCCAGCGACGGACTGTTTTGTATGAGACACCAATGTATTAAATTCCCCTTCTTCATCCCTGATCTGGCCTTTTCTTTTGCTGAAGGAATGAAGGAATTTGTCACGAGCGAATTAAACTCAGGTCCAGCGTGGCTGCGGGAGGGTCTGGAGATTTCCTGGTGGGCTGGTTTGATGTGTGGGCTGCAGAGCCAGCGCTCCCTGTTTTTAATTTTGTTTTTTTTTTAGATCTTTTTATTAACAACATACAAACACAGAACACCGCTGTGGCTGAGGCTGCCAGCGCTCGCTTTTTTTTTTTCTTTCTTTTTTCCGACCCGTCAATCAATCCAGTAGGCGTGTCAGCAAATGACCAATCAGCGACCTCAATTTGTCCCGAAGGTAAACGCCCCTTGTCTGTGAAGCTGCTCTGCAGCTGCTCAGGGTGTACGCTCGAGTACGAAGTCTGAACCCTCTGCGTACAGTACGTAGGCGTGAACGGACGTACGCGGGAGTATACTGCGGGCTTTAGAGGGTGAACTGTGGAGAAGGAAGGCTGCGATTAACACACTTAAATTCTAAATATGCAAGAAAACTCAACTGTGTAATTAAATTCGATAATAGTTCGATAATTACAGTAACTTTAAATTTGTCTAATTTTATTCAATTAAAAAAAAAATGCTCTAAAGCACAAATGCTCTCACTTTGCTTCTGGGCATCAAGCGTTAACTTAATTAATGGATTATGCTGGAAGAACTTCTGTCTGTTTCAAATGACTAGTGGGCCATTAGCAGGGGTCATTACAAAGCCTCAACCCATTAACTTTGGGATGGAGGAGGACAGAGAGTCAGAGCTCTTGGAGAAACAACTAAGGACACGTCAAACATTCTACATAGAAAAAAAAAAAACGATTTCCTTCTCTTTTTTTATCCACTTTTTTTCTTTGTGACCTTTTATGGCCATCGTTAACATTTGCACGAGTTTCGCATGCATGCCACAGTTCCCACAGCCTGCGCGCACAGGATCAACCTTCCTCTGACCCGAGAGGCCTATGGAGAGACAAACAGGGAGACTGGGTGAACTTGATGCCACTAAGACAAGAGGACAGCTAGGGGACACATGGAGTGACAGGCACTATGAAAACACATCAGCGGACTTGAGTTTTGATGCGACGGATTTATACTTGTAGTCTTACATGTGGGAAAATCTTGAATATACAGTTAAGTGACCTTTGCTGGTAGTTCACTAAACATTCTCAGCTTACTAAAACAAAACAAAAAAAGGATATTTACTCAAACTGAACTGTATAGTTTGTTTTTTCTCTTGAAACTGAAGTCACAACCTATTTAGCTTTAAAACTAAATAGAAAGCAAGTCATTTGATAAAGTATACTGGCATGTAAATAAACATTTCTGCTGTAAATAAAGCCATTACATTATTCTTTATCATAAAAAACTATCACGATTTGCTGGTATTTAACTGAATCTAAACAAACTGTTAAAATGTTGCGTCACAGACCGTCACTCAATTTAGGATTTGAGCTTTAAGGTTAACAGCCAATTGTAATTATATACATTTAACCCTAAATCTAAGGTCTTTTTTTTCCCATTCATTCAACCTTTATTTTTATTTTATATTTGACTTCCTGTTAAAATTGAGTTTACCAAGTTCTCTAGACCTCAACTTCCCCACAGCTCATATTAACTTCCATCTGAACACATAAACAGTAAATATTGCAACCCAAGTACTATTTCAATGCTACTTGGATAATTTGTGAGACAAATATTGCAAGAAAAATAAATCACAACATGATAAGGTAAAAGTTGCCAGTTGCATGGTTTGGGTACAGGAACAAGTTTTTTTTTTTTACTATGTTAACTTGCAAAATCTGTTTATTTATTACCAGTGCACACAAAATAAGTCCAAAATTACTTTAAGCTGCACTGTCCGAAGTACCAAATAACGATTAGCTTACACAAGCTAACTGCTAAGTGTATCTTTATGGCTAATTAACAAACAAAGCTTACATTTAATAACTTAACTAATAAATTGGAATATATTCTACACTAAAAACGCAGTAGAGTTGCTAAAACCGCCTTTACCTTAACTCGTTGTAACGACAGAAAAGTTTGAGCTAAGTTTATTAGCGTTTTGTCAACAGAGCTAAAATGCGAAACAGTAAACAGCTGCGCGTTCCATGTGCCCGGTGGTGTTGCCATGGTGACGTTAAAGCGCCAGGCACATTAAAAACCCTAAGCAAAAAGGTGCCCGGTGGTGTTGCCATGGCGACATTAAAGCGCCAGGCTCATTAAAAACCCTAAGCAAAAAGGTGCCCGGTGGTGTTGTCATGGCGACGTTAAAGAGCCAGACACATTAAAAACCCTAAGCAAAAAGGTGCCCAGTGGTGTTGCCATGGCGATGTTAAAGCGCCAGGCTCATTAAAAACCCTAAGCAAAAAGGTGCCTGGTGGTGTTGCCATGGTGACGTTAAAGCGCCAGACACATTAAAAACCCTAAGCAAAAAGGTGCCCAGTGGTGTTGCCATGGTGACGTTAAAGTGCCAGGCACATTTTTTTTTTTAATTAAAGCGCCAGGCTCATTAAAAACCCTAAGCAAAAAGGTGCCCGGTGGTGTTGCCATGGTGACGTTAAAGCGCCAGGCACATTAAAAACCCTAAGCAAAAAGGTGCC